ATAAGTAACCTGGTAGACTCAGACAATGCAGCATTTTTTTGTTTGTTTGTTTTTGGGGTTTTGTTTTTGTTTTTTTTTATTTATTTATTCATTATGTGTACAGTGTTCTGCCTGCATGTCTGCTTACACACCAGAAGAGGGCACCAGATTTCATTGTAGATGGCTGTGAGCCACCATGTGATTGCTGGGAATTGAACTTGGGACCTTTGGAAGAGCAACCAGTGCTCTTAGCCTCTGAGCCATCTCTCCAGCCCTTGTTTTTGTTTTTTGAAACAGGTCTCTACATAGCTTTGGCTGTTCTGGAACTCTCTATGTAGGCTGGCCAAGCAGTAGAATATTATTTAATGCTCAAAAGAAATGAATTATCAAGTCATAAGAACACATGGATGAATCTTAGGTACATATCATTAGCAACAATGGGATATAACTATGTAGCCATCAGAGCACAAACATGATAAAATAGTGTTTTTTTGCCTGATTGTTAAATCATGGGTACATTTATGCTTACATAAAATCTACAAATGGCTATTTATAGTATCTTTATTTACAATTGCCAAACCCGAAAGCAAGTGTGATGTACTTCAGAGGGTTGATGGAGAAACTGTGGTCCATCTGGACAAGGGTGTGTTATTCAGTGTTGAAAAGAGCTGACTATTAAGCTGCAGAAAGAGGAAGAGGTGTTTTTGGCTTGGGGGTGACTTAAGGGTCAAATGCAGGCATTCTCACATGGTAGGCCACATTCCAACACCACATACATTTAGTCTTAAGGAGTAATAATTTGCCTCAAATGGTATATTAAACATTAAAACTTTATTAAACAATAGCACCCATACAGCTGTAGCTCACTTGTTTAAACAGGATGCTGGCCCAGGCAAATCAAATATATATATGCTATAAACATTATTTTGAAAACACGCAATTAGTTGGTCAGGCTTATTAACCTGCATTATATCACATGCGAGTCATTATAGAATAAGCAATAAATATTACTTAGTATAAAGTTTATTCACATGTATACAAAGTAAATGTAACAGGAAGTTCATTAAAATAAAATACAGTTATGTTTTAGGAAAGCTATGCATTAAAAAATGGGTTACTTTTTCCAGATAATACAAATACTGATACATTTGTACTGGTTAATTTCAAACTGTTATGGAAATGTTTGTAAACCCAAAACATAGTAGAAACACAGATCATCAGATTGAAGGCATCAACATATATCAACAAGTACCAGATGACCAGAGACAATATCTACAAAAGGTAATGATTTTTATTTTTATCTTATTAAAAATTAATTGTATTGATTTACTTATTGGAGGGTGGTGAATGTATGCATGTCACTGCACACATGTGGAAGTCATTAATGACCAATTTGCAGGAGTAAGTTCTTTCCTTCAACTTTGTGAGACCTGGGGATTGAACTCAGGTAGTCAGTCTTGGAAGCAAGCACCTTTACCCACTGAGCCTTCTCTTTAGCCCATTATTTAAATTTGTTCACTTGGTGTTGGGGAGCAACACAGGTGTTTGTGGTAAGCTAAGTGTGTGTTCTACCACTGTTCCCTCATTTCAATATAATATTTTGTTTGTTTGCCTTTGCAGCAGTGGTATTCTCATCATATGCCACCATGCCTATCTCCAAAACTCTAATCTTTAAAAAGAAATTACAGAAATATTAGATATTCCTCTAATAGCATAAATGTCATCCATACATTTCATATCAAACAACCAGTAACATTTAATTCACATTCAATTAAAACAAAAAATTACAAATATGAGCTTTTGTTAAGCACAAGTAAATCTTTTAGCATTAAAATTCCCTTGTACATTTAGGAGGAGTATACACACAAATAAATTATATGAGAAATAGAAAAATATCTGATTAGACATTCGGAGACCAATGCAAGGGGGGAGGGGCATTAGTACAAATCACTGCTGGGGTGTTTGTCTGGCATGTACAAGGCCTTGGGTTTGATGCCTAACACCAAGGCCACCACAAAAAAGAAAGAAGTCTGGAGGTAAGTGGGAAACCACAGATACAGAGGAGGTGTCCCTCTACAGCTCTGCATTGTTCTGAGAGCGTCCCTCCCTGCTCCCCTCACTCAGAGGCACAACTCCCACAGCCAAAGCTTGGGCTTTTTTGTTGTTGTTATAAGAAATGTAGAGCTTTATAACTATGTCTTTGTCTCCTTCAAATCTAATTATAGCCACATTCCATTCACTTCCTAATTGTAACAGAAAAACTGGTCTAGTTATATATAAAACCTATGTGAGACAGATTTAATGTTTAACATCCATCCATTCCCCAGAGAAGAAGCAAAACAACACAACAGACTAAAACGCCCCACAGTAACCATACGAAACAACTCAGCATCAAACACACCACAGGAAAGGAAACCACAGAAGTCTATGTCAGTGGCTTTACATTGAGAAGTTTCCCTTTCGGTTTCCAGGTGCTTGTTAACGATGGTTCTATTACAGTTTTCGGCTTGTATTCAAATTACCATAACATCTAGATGCTCTAGAAACACCAGCGATTTCAGTTTTAGTGGTGAATTCGAGATCCCTTCCAGTTAGGATAGATGACAAATGTAAGGCTGCTAGTGGGGCAATGTGAGGTTGTCACAGGTCCTGAAGCTAACTTTGGAGTTAGACTGGGGAGTCAATAGAATATTCAAATTAGGATTCAGTGGAAGATGCAGGGTATAGAGGTGTGTGTAGATCAAGGGTAAAACTCTTCCCTGCCATGAGAAAGGTCCTGGGTTCTGGAACTTGCTCGGTAGACCAGGCTTGGTCTCAAACTCACAGATATCTGCCTGCCTCTGCCTCCCCAGTGCTGGGATTAAAGGAGTGTGCCACCACCGCCCGGCTTGAAAACCCTTCTAATTACATGGAGCTGTGGAGAGATGATTTATTTGTGACAAGCAGCCCACAAGTCAGATAATGTAGAAGGATAAAGCTTTGCCAGTCTCAGACGCCTTCCTTTTATCTGCCTTAATGAAGATCATGTTGTCCTGTGTTTTGCTTTGCTTTATCTGAGACAAGATCTCACTAATTACTCCGGGTGACCCTTGAACTAAGTATGTAGCCCAGGCTGGCCTCAAACTTGTGATTTTCATGCCTATGCCTCCTAAACACTGAGACTGTTGGTGTGTTACACTGGTGTAACACAGATTATAATGTCATAAAAGGAACACACACACACGTTCATACACACTGCAAAATGATGTGTATTTTCTAAATATTTAATTTGGGTCTAACTATCAAACGCAGAAGGGTTGCAATCTCAACTTTATATTATCATAAAACAAAGTAACAATTTATAAAGGATCTTAACAAATAGGGAAAAGTCTGACAGAAACAGACAATAAAGAAAACCACCAACGTTTACTTCTAGTCAACTTTTCAAGACTTTGTAGTTTCTTGACCCCAGAGCACACAGTTACTTAACACATAACAAGTAAATGAACTCCAATATACAAGCATATACGTTAGAGAGTATGTGCTCCACACTCATGAGTCACACTCTGCTACGATTTTGGTTTGTTTGGGTGCTGGGGATCTAACCCAGTGTCTTGCACACATGTCAAGCACAGGCTTTTCCACTGAGCTCCTTTTCTACATTCTTGAGAAAGAACTGGTCATTTATATGACTACAACAGAAAAGTATCTGTTACAACTATGGTGTGTTTTCCATGTGTTAAGATGTACTAGGAGAAACAAGGGAACCTGAGAATTTTGCTTAATGATTCAACATATGCTTAACATACATGATGTTCTGGTTCAATCTCCAACACACACACACACACACATACACACAAACACACACACACACACACACACACACAATGCAAAGGATCTCTGGTGACTTCAGTTACTATTGCTGGAGAATCTAACCCAGGGTCTCATGCATATGGAGCTAGGGCCCAGCCACTTGCCTCTACCATTCTGTCACTAAACTTCTAGCTCAATATTGTACATGCATGTGTGAATGTGCATACAAACACTTGTATGTAGAAACCAGAAGTTGATATTGGTATCTTCTTCAATTGCTCTCCACCTTAATTAACTTTTATTTTTTTAATGCATTTTGAGACAGGGTTTCACTGGGTAGCCCTGGCTGTACTAGAATTAGCTCCTTAGACCAGGCTGGCCTCGAACTCACAGAGATTCTCCTGCCTTGGCCTCCCGAGTGCTGGGATTAAAGGCATTCATCACCACCACTGGACATTGGTTTTTGTTTTTGTCTTTCTGAGGCAGGCTCTCCAGTTATCCTAGAACTCACAATGTAGAACAAGCTGGTCTTAAACTCACAGAGATCTCTGCCTCTTAAGTGCTGGGATTAAAGGTGTGCACTACCTCACTGACTCCACCTTCTTTTTGAGACAGAGTCTCTCAGTGAACTCTCCTGATTCAGCTACAGTCACTAGCCACCAACCCCAGAGCTCCTTCTATGTCCTTCTACCCAGTGCTGGATTATAGGTATGCATCCAAATACTCTTTTTTGTTTTTTTCAAACATGGGTACTGAGGATTGAACTCAGATACTTATGTTTGTACAGCAAGCACTTTTCCAAGTGAAGTATCTGCTAAACCAACAAATAGTAATTTTTAGGGGGGGAACCCCTTGGCACCTCTTACCACGGGAAACATGATTGATAGCAAGTAAAAAACTAAGACCTGCAAATTTGGTGAATGTTCTTTACCAATTAAATCAGAAAACCAAATGATTATTTCAAGGCCACCAAAATGTCAAATTCTATGAAGTATTTTCAGCCAGAAAGAAATCCTAGTGAAGAGAAGATCCAGTATCATGATTTAAGATAAACTAATGATTGACGCTTCTGAGTTTGCTTATTCTAATTATTCTATGAACAAACTTTGTCTTGCTTTTTCTTTTCTTCACTGAGATAGGGTTTCTCTGTAGTTTTGGAGGCTGTCCTGGAACTCACTATGTAGACCAGGCTGGCCTTGACCTCACAGAGATCATCCACCTGCCTCTGCCTCCCGAGTGCTGGGATTAAAGGCATGCACCACCACTGCCCGGCACAGAAAGAGTCTTGATAGGGCCCAGGCTGGCCTTGAACACTCATCCCTCCCAACTCAGCCTCCTGAGTGTGAGGATTCTAGATATGTATCACATTGCCAGCTATAGCAAAGATTTTTGAACCAGTACAACATACATTGTAAAAAGGCACTTTCTTCTTAATTTCGAGGAAATGGAGTTGAAGTCTCTTACCAAGATGGTGGAGATCCAGTTCAGTTCTGAGCTGAAGGCAGAACTGTGGTGAGTTCTATTCAGTATGTATTGTTCCTTTATTCCTTGCAGTTTGTCATAAAAAGCTGAGCGGGCAAATCTTTTTTTTTTGTTTCAGGGAGAACAAATCATTCAAACCACACGGATGTCTCACAACAAGGTGGCAAGCTGGGCTTAGTGAGATGGGAGTGACATAGACTTTTTAAACACTCTGAATCCTTTTGCTGGTCCAGGGTATGGAGGCGGAGGTGAGACGCTGTGTTTTCTGGTCAGTGCTACAGCCTGTTCGTAGGAAGGTAGTCCTGCATCCTCTGAAGGTGGCGATGAAGGCAAGACAGTCTCCTCAGAGCTTCTGAAAATTATGGATGGTGTGTGTCTGGTCCTTCTTGTGTAGACAGCTGAAGAACTAAACAGAGAGATGATGCCATTTAGGTTTAAGAGAGATTAATTTCTGGGTTAAGATAATGGCATTAAAAATCCCAGAAGCCAGGCAGTGGTGGCACATGTCTTTAATTCCAGCACTAGGGAATCAGATACAGGTGGATCTCTGTGAGTTTGAGGCCAGCCTGGCCTACATAATGAGTTCCAGGGCAGCCAGGGCTGCACAGAGAAACTGTGTCTAGGAAAAGGAAGGAAGGGAGAAAGGAAGGAAGGAACAAGAAAGGAAGGAAGGAAGGAAGGAAGGAAGGAAGGAAGGAAGGAAGGAAGGAAGGAAGACTAGGAGCATTGAAGTCATATGTGGGTTAGAAACTGTACTCTGTCATCCTGTGATGAAAGTCAAACTCCCTGACTCCGTTTCCTCCTCTCTAAAATGGGGTAATAAAGCTACCTCAGCAGAGTGGTTGGTGTGGACTGAGTAAGCAGTTTGATGTAATACTCCTAGTAGAGTGATTCCATTTTCCTCCTGCTCTGGAAATCAAATCCAGGCTTTGTTGTGAGGTAGCTTGACGCCAAGCCAAGGAAATAGATGCTACAGAGGTTGTCTCTGCAGTGTTGTTGCCTGGATGACCCTTGCCCCTTCCCAAGCAGTAATTCTGTCATATAATCTAGACATGGCTTGCTTTCCACAGTTTGGTAACTCCTGAACCCCCTTTACAAAGCCTCCCTTATTCTGTCCTCACAGTATTTTTCATAGTTTTCTTCTCTGTTAAGTATACAGAATTCTCAGGCCCCCTTTTCTCTCTGCTGTTTTTCCCCTGAGACAGGGTCTCTTGTAGCTCAAGCTGGCCTCCAACTCACTAGTAGTTAAGGATGGCCTTGAACTTCTGCCTCTGCCTCTGCCTCCTCTGTATTGAGATTTAGGCATGTAGTGCTGGGGATTGAATCATTGACTTCATGAACGCTAGGCAAGGGATCTACCAACTGAGCCACACCCCCAGCTCACTTCTCTGTGCCTTGACTGGCATTGTTCCATTCGAGAGATGCTGTCTCTTTCTTTTCTCCAGCCTCTTGGCCAAGTACATAGTAAAGCCTAGTGTGTGTAAAGATCTGGGTTCTACCCTCAGCACTGAAACACAAAGTTTACCCCCGCTTCTCTCTTCTCCTGTCTTCACTTCATACTGGGATTGAGCCAGAGTCATGGGCATCCTTGTAGGCAAGTACTGTACCACTGAGCTACCATCTCCAGTCATTTTAAAATGTTGGGAAAAGGGTCTTTTCAGTTTGCTGAGCTGGCCTTGAACTCACTATTGTAACTGGTCTTGAATTAACAATCCCCCTGAGTTCTAGAATTGCAGATTTGTACCACTACACCTAAAACACCCTAACAATTTCACAAAACCTCATCAGCCAGTGAAAGCTAAAATGCCACATTGGTCTGACATTTTCAACCTATGGTTTTCCATTCTCTTCTTTGAATTTCAAACTAAATTAAAATTTTTAAAATTACATTTATATGTGTACATCTATGTGTATATACATATACATGCACACACACACACACATGCTGCAGTGTGCTTGTGAAAGTCTGAGAACAACTTTTTCAGTCAGTTCTATCATGTAGAACTCAAGGATTGAACTTGGGTCAGCAGGATTGGTGGAAAGTGCCTTTACCCACTGAGCCATCTTGCCAGTCCACAGACTACAATCTAAAAGTTAGTAAACTGAGCTGTTTAGATTGTGAAGTTGGCTGACTATAAAGTATCAATTCAGACAATCTTGACTAACTTCTAATCCATGCATATAGTATTTTTACCACTAATGGACAGTTAACATATGTCTAGGGAGTTGGCTTGAAAAATCTGATGATCTGAGTTTGGACTCCCGGAACCTTTGTAAAAGTCAGACACAGTAGCACAGGCATATTGTAATCCCAGCATGTTCATTGTCATTTAAGGGGTCTGTTGGACATTTGTCTTTCCTTTCCAGAGAAATGGCAGCTCAAGTCCTTTATCTTTTTATAGGCTGTCTTTTGTTTTGTCCTTCCTTCACTTACCTTTTTTTCTAAAAAAACAAAAACAAAACTTTTGTTTTATGTCAATAGCCAGTGCTCCTAAGTGAGGAGCCATTTCTTCAGGTTCTCTCAGTCTATCTTTGAAATAGCCATGCGGTGGCGTATACGCTATGAATCCCAGCACTCAGGAGGCAGAGACAGGGACGTTTATGTGAGTTCCAGGCCAGCCTGGTCTACAAAGGGAGTGCCAGGACAGGCTCTAAGGCTACACAGAGAAACCCTGTCTCAAAAACCAAAACAAACAAAAAAAAGATCTCGAGAAAAAATCTTTGAAATAAAATATTATTTTATTCTGCCAAATCTAATTTTCCTTTTCCCTCTCCATCTTCAAATATGTTCCTTCAGCCAGAAGTCAAGACTCGGCTCACATTCTCCCTTTATGTCCTGCAGCTTTCTACCGGCCATCAAGTCTCTCAGTGTCTTTTCCCTCAGACAAGTGCAGACTCCTGGCCTCCTAGGAGGCCCACGCTGGCATCCCAATGGTACTCCTCTACCCTGTAGGTTCTTCCTGCTTGACTGTGTGTTATTTGAGCAATACAACTGCTTTTGCCACCACTGTGTTCCCAGGATGGAACAGAGTACTGCCTTCTCAAAAACCTTTTCCAGGAAAGAAACCTTCTATTTCTCTTTCCATGGGGATTCACCTGTCCTCATCTTCCCTAAACTGAAATTATCCAGCCCTTTCACATGTTTACATTTGGACTTTCTCTCTCTCTCTTTTCCTCCCTCCCTCCCTCTCTCCCTCTCTCCCTCCCTCCCTCCCTCCCTCCCTCCCTCCTTCCCTCCCTCTCTCCCTCCCTCCCTCTCACCAAATGGTAATAATTTTATGTCTTCTTTGAACACCTCTCTTTCACTTTCAAAAAAACAAAACAAACCAGAATACACTGAATAGCAGGTGTAGTAGCAGCAACGCATATCTAGACTCAAGTAGTGCAGAAGTTAGTTATACAGGGACCGGGGCAGATTCATTGGCTAATATTTTGTAATCTACTGAGTGTTTTAAAAACTTCCTTAGGATATGTCTGGATTTAAATTTCATGTGGACATACGAATGCTGGGTAAATCTACCATCAGGTATAAGCTCTGAACAGGTCTTGTGCTTGTTTTGTGGTGGTCGGAGTTGAATGCAGGGCTTGACAGGTGCCAGGCAAGCCCTCTACCACTGAACTGCAGCTTCCAGCCCCTGGGGACTATTTGTTTATTTATTTACTCATTCACTTATTTATTTATTCATCCATGCATTTATTCATTTAGATGCCGGGAATTGAACCCAGGGCCTCACATGTATTATATAGGTCCTCTACCATACACTCGGGTTGGAAGTCATTTTTAAAAAGCGTAAACACTACATGGGCAGACAGTAGCACTCTTTCTCAAACCTGTGGAACAACTGAGTTCAAAAAGGAATAAACACAATTATAGCTAAAACTGATTTACTATATGCCAAGCATTATTTTAAGTACTTAATGATCTGGGCTGACATATTGCACAATGTCAAATGATATCATTCACATGTCTGTTCCCCTGGAACTATGATGCATGATGGCTTTGATTATTATAGGGGTACACATGCAAGTAACATGTCCAAGGACAAATGCCTAGTCAGTTGTGTCCTTGGGATCTGAACACTGCATTTCAGTTCCCATGATCTCACATATCATTTCTTGCTTGGACATGGAATCATATCTTACAGTAATATGCCAGAAAATAAATCAAGTGGTGAATGCAAGTTTACAAGATGCTCAGTGTTTTGAAAATTCTGTACCAGGTTAACCAGTCAGGTTAATACTGTGTGATTCCACTTGTGTGAGGTCAGAGTAGTAAATTCACAGAGGTAGAAGCTGCTATTAGTGAGCTTGGGCTGGTGGGCTGGGGACTTGAACAGAAGATGGGGGAGTGGCTGGGTTCACAGGCATGGAGCAGGAGATGATTGTAAAGGCATGTGAATGAGATGAATTCTGAACTTGAACAACTTACTTACAAATAACAAAGAAGGTAGATTTTATTTCATGCAAACTATTAGTCTGGAAATGCATTTAAATTGTATTATTAAATATCAAAATTAAGTTGCAAATGAGAACATATAATGTGCATACCAAATCCACAATAGTAGTTTCTTTCTTTTTCTTTTCTTGTGTGTGTGTATGTGTGTGCACGTTTGTGTATATGTACATGCAAATGTGCATGCATGTGCAGAGGACAACTTTGGGTATTATTTCTCAGGAGACATTTTGGGGTGTGTTTGTTTGTTTGTTTGTTGGAGACAGGGTCTCTATGTAGCCCTAGCTGTCCTGGAACTCTGAATATAGATCAGGCTGGTCTTCAACTCACAGAGATTCATCTTGTTTTTTTTTGTTTTGTTTTGTTTTAAGACAGATCTCTCAATGAGACCAGAGCTCACCAATTAGAGCAGGCTGGTTATCCAGAGAGCTCTAAGCATCCACTCGTCTGTCTACCCAGTACTGGGACTACAAACACATGCCAACATGTACTACCTTTTTACATGTGTGCTGGGGTCCAATTCAGACTCTCATGCTTGCATCCAGGCATGCTACTGACTGGGCTATCTCTCCAGCCTGGTAGTTATTTCTTTCATCATTTTGTCTTTTCTTTTCTTTGTTTTTGAGGCCAGGTTTCTCTGTGTAACAATCCTGGCTCTGTCCTGGAACTCACTTTGTAGACCCCGCTGGCCTGGAACACACAGAGATCCATCTGCCTCTGTTTTCCAAGCCCTGGGATTAAAGGTGTGCACCCCAGGATTTTTGTTTATTTGCTTATTTTAAATTTTACTTCGTTAACTGTTTAAAAGTTTATTTATGTGTGTGTGTGCACATGTGTGCACATGTGTGCAGGTGGAGTCCTGTCCTGTTCTCCCCCCACCCCAGCAAGAGTTTCAGGTGGCTGTGAGCTGTCTGATGTGGGTGCTGGGGATCAAAGTCAGGTCCTCTGGAAGAGCATCATACACTCTTAATAGCTGAACCATCTCTCAGGACCCTAAACAATTGCTTATGTGGGCACAAAATAGGTTAAAAAATTTGAAGACCTGAATCTTCACTATCAATACCTTCTGAGACACTCATATAACAGAATAATAACTTCATGTGATTCTCTCAGATGAACTAATGTGATTTGCTTTAAGCCTTCAAGAGGGGATGCTTTGCTGGCCTTGAACTGGCTATATTGTTGAGGATGCTCTTGCATCTCTGGTCCCCGGTCTCTTCCTCCCAAGTGCGAGGGTGGCAGACACAGTCCACCCCTGGTTTATGAGGTGCTACAAATCAAACTCAGGGGTTTTGCATGCTAAGTAAGAATTTGACTAGTCCTCAAGAAAAAACACTCTACTAAATGTTGTGGAGAAATGTATTCTTTATATTTACTATTTCACGTAAAGGATTTTTATTTTTTAAATAAACCTTTAAAATGATAATTTCAACAAACTAACAGCCAAAGTTATTAAACTGACAAAAAGAAAGAGATATTATGAAACTTTTAAGGGAATCAGATTTTTTTTCTCATTCATTTCAAAGGAGAGATGGCTCAACCATTAAGAGCCTACGTTGCTCTTCCAGAGAACTGAGTTTGGTTTGCAGCACCCACTTTTAAAGTGTGAGCAGGAATATGCAAGCATCAATACTAGCAGCCTGCTTAGCACCTTGTGTTCCTTTTTAAAATGTCTCCACACCAAATTGTTATGAACAGCAGCTGTGCCCGTTAGTTGTTGTCAACTTGACACAAGATAAAGTTATCTGAGAAGAGGGGTCCTCAACTGAGAAAATGTCCCTGTCAGACTGGTCAATAGACAAGATTATGGGGTATTTTCTTGATTAATGATTGATGTGGGAGGGCCCAGCCCACTGTAGGTGGTAGTAGTCCTGGGCAGGTGGCCCTGGATGCTTTAAGATAGCAGGCTGAGCCAGGCAGTGGTGGTGCATGCCTTTAATCCCTGCACTTGGAAGTATAGTAGTTTGAATGTAATTAGCCCCCTTAATCTCACAGGGAGCAGCACTATCAGGAAGTGTGGCTTTGTAGAGTGGGTATGGTCTTGTTAGAGGAAGTGTGTCACTGTGGGGTGGGCTTTGAGGTTTTCTTTTTTGTTGTTGTTGTTGTTTTCTTTTTTCTTTTTTCTTTTTTTTTTTGGTTTTTCAAGACAGGGTTTCTCTGTATTGTTTTGGAGCCTGTCCTGGAACTCACTCGGTAGACCAGGCTGGTCTCGAACTCACAGTGATCCGCCTGTCTCTGCCTCCCCAGTGCTGGGATTAAAGGCATGCACCACCAATGCCCGGCTGTTGTTGTTGTTTTCAAGACAGGGTTTCTCTGTATTGTTTTGGAGACTGTCTTGAAACTCGCTCAGTAGACCAGGCTGGCCTCGAACTCACAGAGATCTGCCTGCCTCTGCCTTCTGAGTGCTGGGATTAAAAGCATGCACCACCAACGACCAGCTGGCTTTGAGATTTTCTATGCTCAGGATACCATCCGGTGTCTCTGTCAACTTCCCGTTGCCTGAAAGCCAACTTATAGCTGGCATCATGTCTGCCTGCACTCTGCCATGCTCCCTGCTATGGTGATAATGGACTGAATCTCTCAAACTGTAATTGAGTCACTCCAATTAAATGTTTTTTTTTGCTTGTTTGTTTTGTTTTTAGGAATAATTACTGTGGTTGTGGTGTCTCTTCACAGCAAAAAAAAAAAAAAAAAAAAAAAACCCTAACTAAGACAGGAGGAAGAAGCAGATGGATCTCTGTGAGTTTGAGGCCAACCTGGTCTACAGAGCAAGTTCCAGTACATCTAGGCTGTTACACAGAAAAATCCTGTCTTGAAAGAAATAAAAACAAAAACAAAACAAAAAAATCAAAATAAAGAAAGAGAGCAGGTTGAGCAAGCCAGGGAGAACAAACCAGTAAGCAGAGTTCCTCAATGGCCTCTGCTTCAGTTTTTGTCTCCAGGTTCCTGCCTTGGCTTCCCCTCAGGAGACTGTGTCCCAGGATTTGTAAGTCAAACAAACCCTTCCCTCTCAGGCTGCTGTTTATCACAGCAGTAGAAACCCTAACCAAGACAGTTTTGCAAATACTTATGGTCCTTATGGATTCTTATCAATCTCTGTTAATGTGCTATTTGTCTTTACTTGGTAATATTTTTATTTTATTAATTTTAAGGTACCAATAATAGGTTAAAGTCAGACACCACCCCCAAGCCTTAGAACAAAGCATCATATGTCCCAGACTGGCTTTCTAGTTGTTATGTAGCCAAGGATGATCTTGAACTTCTGATTCTCCTGCCTCCACCTCCCCAGTGCTGGGATTTGTAGGCACGTGCCGCCACACCAGGCTTATGCGGTACTGGGGATTGAACCTAGGGGCTGCGTGCACACTAGGCCATCACTCTATCAACTGAGTTACACCCCCAGTCCCTGAGTGCCACACAGATCTGTTACGTTTATGACCCAGTAAACTATTGGGCTTTCTGTTTTTGAAAATAATGGGGCGGTGGTGTACACATTCTGGGCAGGTGCTCCACTACTGAGCTGTATCTCCAGTCTTTGGGGTTTTGAGGCTATTCTCTGTATGTAACCCAGAGTGGTATAGAGCTTGACTCCTGGTTCCCTACCTCCTGAGTGCTAGGACTATAGCTCTGAGCAGCTACACCTACATCTTGTATTCTTTTGAAGGATCTTAGAAATAACATCTTTAACTCTTTTGTCATGGCAAACAGATGCCTCCACATATATACACTAAGTAAATAAATACATTTAAAAGTTTTTAGAAATAGCGTCATTAGGCTGTTAATGTGGATGTTAAAACACTAAATATCTGTCAGCCTAGAGTGTGGGAAGACATAATTAAATGTAGTGTAGGGCCTTAACAGGCCCTGGAGTAGAGAGAGGACACTAACAGAGAAACTGGCAAAATCTAAATTTAGAGGTTAGTTGATGATGGTGTTACAATTGTGTGTGTGTGTGTGTGTGTGTGTGTGTGTGTGTGTGTGTGTGTGTGTGTGTGTGCGCGCGGACAACATCAGTGTTTTTCTCAATTACTCTCCACCTTGCTTTTTGAGACAGGGGCTCTCACTGAACAGGAATTTGTTGATTAAGCTTGGCTGGCTGGCCTGCAAGCCCTCAGGAGCCTCTCTCCCCATCTCCCTGAAGCTGGATTACAGGCTCATGCTGCTACACCATGCTTTTCTAGTTGTTGGTGATTTGAACTCAGGGCTTATGCTTGTGTAGAAAGGACTTTATTGGCTGAGCGTATCTCTGGTCCTATTTTCTTAGTTTTGACAGATCCACTATGGTAACATAATTGGCAATAATGGGAGAAACTGAGCAAAGGGTGCACGAAAATTTTCTGTACTGTCTTTGTAATCTTCTTGGCTATCTAGGGTTATTCTAAAGTAAAAACCCCCAAACAAATAGCTATCAGTTTGACCTACTTAAAAATAACAATATAGAATAAAGAAGTTAATATTTTGACTTACCCCAGATATTGCGGCCTATTACACTTGGTGATACACAGATAATAACCAAACAAGCCAAAAATAACCAAGAATACTCCAGCAGCAATTAATCCAGTCAGAAGGCCCATAACATCAAATTCCTCTTTGTTAACATCTTAAAAAAATTAAAACAAGTTAATAGTACGGCTGAAAGCATTATCTACCGTTTCAATAAATTTAACACATTATTAGAAGAATCTCACAATTGATTATTTATTTCAAGACAGAGGCTTTCCCCTGTAGAAGCTACTACTTCTACTACTCTCCTCCCAGTGTTTTTCTTTTTCTATTCTTTTTTTGGTGTTGCAGATTGGACCCAGACCTTTGTACACGCTAAGCATGTATTCTACCACTGAGATGTATCTTCTGTCATTCTCTTCTTCCTGCTCCCGGGGGTGTGGTGGGGGTGGGGGGCTGCGGTCTCCCGTTCACTATGTAGCTGAGGAGGGTGACCAATGAGGTTACAGGTGTACACCACCAGACTCATTTTGTGGCTCAAAGCTGAGGCTTCACGCAAGCACTCTACCAGCAGAGCTACATCCTCACAGTGGGTTTGTGCCTGCATGAGTGCCTCTGTGTGTGTGTGTGTGTGTGTGTGTGTCCCTTGCTGGAGATCAAGCCTGGGAGCATGAGCTTGCTAGGTAAACACTCTATAACTTATGTTGCAGCTTCAGCCCTACCTTCAGCCTTATCCAGCAATCTCATTTACATATCATAGGTATTCTGTTCACTTATAATGGTAACAAAAGAAAAAGGTTTGCTAGTTTATAAGTTGAAACTAACAGAGTTCTACTTTTGTGCAAGTTTTAACTTAGCCCAGCTGCTTAAACAACCTTTAAGCCCATTATCTCATTTCCCTAATATCTCACCAAACTTGATTTTCAGTATGCAAACAGATGAAGGTAGCCTCCTGTCTCTCACAGCCCGGCGTATAATTGAGAAACCGTCCTTGGAATGCATGTTGAGCAATAGCCAGACTCAAACATGAAAACTAAAATGTGTTACCACGGAGAGAGGTGAGGACATGTGTCATGTCGGCAGTTCTTCACCTTACCCGAGCGTGTGGTTGGTCCTTTAGTCGAATAATCCCGCCAAAATGTAATCTAAGAAAAAAGATGACAGTTTCAAATTTCTGTAATTTAGAATCATTTCATTTGTTCCCAATGACCTAGATGGGAGGTGGTAAGCTCTTGGCATGTGACACAGGCAAGACACCAGTTCATTCAAGCTGACAGCAATGGCTCATTCTGCTGTCTCTGCTGTCTGGTCAGTTGGCAAAGGGATTGCTGCTAGTCCCAGCTCTCCATTACCATGCTCTGCTAGGCTGGCCGTCTGTGAACGCAGTCTGATTTTCTGCGCTGGGGTGTGGGGCTCTGTTTGCTAGGAGAGGTGAGTTTACTGACTTGCAAACTTATCTCTGAAGCAGTTCAAGTTCTATGTGTTTTGAAAGAATAGCAGATTTTTAAGGAGCCATGATTAAATTAGAGTAATTTTTATTTTTTATTTTTTGGTTTTTCGAAACAGGGTTTCACTCTGTAGACCAGGCTGGCCTCAAATTCAGAGATCTACCAGCCTCTGCCTCCTGAGAACCGGGATTAAAGTGTGTGCCACCACTACCCAGCTTAAAATAATTTTTTAATTTTGAAAAACAATTAAATACCAACAGGTACAACTACAAAGTATAGTTTTTGTTTTCCCACTTCCTACATGTAGTAAATATTTGCAGGACATGAGTAGCTGGGAAGGATTATGGAAGAATGAATAACTAGGTTTCCTCACTGCAAATTTGGAGGATCCCTGGGAGCCTCTTGTTCAGCAAAGAGTAAAGAAGGATGCTTGAGAAGGGAGAACAGGTGCTGGCGTGCTTTACATATGGAGGAAGAGAAGCACTTAGCATTCCTCCAGAAGATTCCATATTACAGCAGGCAGTGTTACCTGTCTGTTTTACTGTATTATGTAGATTAACAGGCAGGACTTAATTATATTTTAACGGAGATTTAAAAAAAAACATTGGGGGTTAGAGAAATGGCTCATTGGATTAAGAGCACTTGTTGCTTTTGCAAGAGGACCCAGGTTCAATTCCCAGCACTCACATTGTGGCTTACAATCATTCATACATAACTCCAGTTTTGGGGGTCTTGAAAGCCTTCATCTGACTTCCTTGGGCACCAGCAAGCATGCCATGTACAGACATACACAGAAAAAACACTTATATGCATCAAAAAGTCAGAAATTAATTTTTTGTGTTTTTTGTTTTTGTTTTTTAGAGACAGGGTTTCTCTGTAGCTTTGGAGCCTGTCCTGGAATTCGCTGTGTAGACCAAGCTGGCCTTGAACTCACAGAGATCTGCCTGCTTCTGCCTCTCATGTCTGGGATTAAAGGTATGAGCCAGCACTGCCCTGGGAATTAATTTTTTTTCTTTTTGTTTTTACGAGACAGGGTTTCTCTGTATTGTTTCGGAGGCTATCGGTCCAGCCCGGCCTCGAACTCAAAGAGATCCGCCTGCCTCTGCCTCCCGAGTGCTGGGATTAAAGGCGTGCGCCACCACCGCCCGGCCTGGGAATTAATTTTTTAAAAAGTCTTTTTTCCCCTTAGGCCAGGTATGATGGCTCATGCTTTTAATCTCAGCATTCAGGAGACAGAGGCAGGAGGATCTCCACTTACCTAGACTCCCAATTCAACAACAACAACAATCCTCTCTTAAACTACATAGACAAATCAATAACATCCTAAGCACCAGTTTACATCCTCAATGATAGAGGCTGGTGAATGACTCGGTGGTTGAGAGAGCTTGATATGCAATCGTGAGGACCAGAGTTCAGACCGCAGCACTCGGATGACAAGCATCACATATATACACATATATAAATAAAATAACTCTTAAAAAAACCAAACACATAACATCCTCAGTGCCTGGAACATAGGAGACTGTCAATAAGTAGCTGAACTATAGACATAGGCAATCAAAAAAGTGTAAGATAACTAAGAGGAAAAATTGTGCTTAGTTTTAAATGATTGACACTCAAGTCAAAGTACTGAGTCCAATGATATCTTAGTTGCTAGGAATGGAACCCAAGGGCTTGGTTTTCTAGTATTGTGGTCTCTGAGCCATCTTCAAATGACATCTTGAACTGAAATCCACTCTGCCCTGAGACTATTTCTGAATATAATAAACATTGACCACGTGGCCAGGCATGGGTGGCACATACCTTTAATTCCAGCTCTTGAGAGGCGGAGGCAGGAGAATCTTTGTGAGTTTGAGCCTAGTCTGGTCTACATAGAAAGTTCTAGGATACCCAGGGCTACACAAAAAAACCATGTCTCAAATAAATAATCAAAATTTAAAAAAGATTAAACACAAAGGCATCACATAGCCCATGATTTGCTAATTATTATTATTATAACTATAATAATTAGTATTTGGATTTTTGGTTTCTTGAGGCAGGGTTTCTCTGCGGCTTTGGAGGCTGCCCTGGTACTAGCTCTTGCAGACCAGGCTGGTCTTGAACTCACAGAGATCCGTCTGCCTCTGCCTCCCAAGTGCTAGGATTAAAGGCATGCACCACCACCGCCTGGTGATTTGCTAATTATTATAAATGGCAGTTAAATAAAAACAAAGCCAACTTCAAAGCATTTTAAGAAGTGGAAAGAGGTAATAGGCATACAGTTTTGATTTTGTTTAAAGCACACAGATCTATAATGTATTTATCTCCACTTTCTCAAAATAAAATGAAATAACATCACCAGTCAAATTACCGCTTTTTCATCATCTCTGAAAATCTCTCTGGCTTCTTCATAATTACAAAACTCCTCATAGCATTCTCTCTCCAGGTCCCCGGGAGTGAAGAGTTCCAAATCAAACCTATTGTACAGGAGGCGGCGGCGGTGTATAAAGATGTTTGCTGCTTCTTTTGATGCAAAGACTAGTAAAGATATACAAAAAGATTTCAAACATAATAAGGGTATGGCAGAAACTTCCTGTTTTAACTGGAAAAAAAAATCATTCTCTTGATATGAATAAACTATACCAGCCTCTCTCTCCTGGGTGACTTTCAGATTGCCCCCCCTCCCCAAATAGCATCAGTAAAATGGCTTCTGGGAAATGTTGTCAATTCCAGACAATACTTGAGTTGCTTATGCTCCAAATTATTTTTTATGCCCCAAATCATTAACATAAGATGTGCTTATGTCCCAAATTATTTTATGCTCCAAATTATTAACATAAATAAAAATTATTAAAGTTTCAGTTATTCGGGTCAAAGAGTGACTCAGCAGTTAAGAGCACTGACCAGAGGACCCAGGTTCAAATCCCAGCACCCACATGGCAGCTCACAATTGTCTGTAATTCCAAAATCTGACACCCTCACACAAACATACATGCAGGCAAAACATTAATTCACATTAAGAATAAAAGTAAAAAAACTTTTAAAAAAGTTTCAGTTATCCTTCCTGGTGATTGTTTTTTCCTGAAAATAACAGATGAGACTACTCTTTCCAAAGGTTGTTTCTATGAATTTTCCTTGTTTCTTTTTTTTTTTTTTTTTTTTTTTTTTTTGCTTTTTACTGCTAGAATCCAACATAGGGCCTTAATAATAAGTTAGTATGCTGTTTTGGTGTGTGTGTGTGTGTGTGTGTGTGTGTGTGTGTGTGTGTGTGTGCGCTCATGTGTTGGTGCACCTACTCATTTGGAGGCCAGAAGAGGATGTTAGGTGCCCTGTTCTATCACTCTCCGTCCTACTCCTTTGAGGCAGGGTCTCTCCTAACTTTGGGTATGGTGACTGGCCAGTATACTCCCAGAATCTGCCTGTCTCTGCTTCCCAGGGCTGGGGTTACAGGTGCCTGTGTGGCCATTCTTGGCTTTTGCATGGTTGATGTGGATCAAAGCTGAAGTTGTCAGGCTGGCACAGCAGGAGCTCTTAGTCACTAAGCCACCTCCCCAGCCTCAAGTCAACACTTTTATGTGGAAGATTTTACATAAGCTCATGCTAAAAGATAGAATTCTAAACTTCTGTTTATAAAATTATAGGCTAATTAGAAGATTAACTTAGAACCACTTAGTCCATGCCAAAGAAATAGCTCCTTTCACCCATTCATCCCACCCTCCAGATATGTATCCACAATACTTTGTGGACTTTCTTGCACATTTGCTGGGAAATCAATGGGAAACATAATAAGATAAAGCATGTGAGAGAATGAAGAAGGAAAAGCTTGACTAAAAGTTTAGCCTGGGCAACACAGCAAAATAGGGGGAAAAAGCCGACGGGGGAATATGATTTGCTGGCCATTCGTTATTCTGGTCATGAGAATACTCATACTTTCCCAAGATCTTTTTCTATACATTAACATTCTAACTAGGTTAGAATCTTCTACATCTGTCTTGGTCAATGTACGAGTTCCTGGCCATATATGGTTACTAAGCACTAAAAAAGTGGCTAGTCAGCCGGGCGTTGATGGTGCATGCCTTTAATCCCAGCACTTGGGAGGCAGATGCAGGCGGATCTCTGTGAGTTCGAGGCCAGCCTGGTCTACAGAGCCAGTTCCAGGACAGCCTCCAAAACAATACAGAGAAACCCTGTCTAGAAAAACCAAAGGGGGAAAAAAAACCAAAAAAAAAAAAAAAAAACCAAAAAACAAAGAAAACAACAGCTAGTCTAACTGATACATAAAACACTCACAGAATTTTAGACTTCATATTGAAAAAACTGTGAAAGAACATAGGCAAGTTAGATATTGTGTATACCTTGAAAAGGCCTTATAGATATTAGATGACATAGAAATTATTAAAATCAATTTCACATATTTCTTTTTGCTCATTATTTTACTTTCACTTTAATTAGTTATTTGAGGCAGGGTATCCCTGTGTGGTTCTGGTTTGCCTGGAACTCATTATGTAGGTCAGGCTGGTCTTGAACTTACGGAGATAAGCCAGAGTGCTAGGATCAAAGGCACTTACTACCACAACTGGCTTATTTTTGCTGTTTAATGTATGCCTACTAGGAAAAAGTTAAATTATTTATGTGATTCACATAATAGTTCTTTTATTATCATTATTCCTGAGAGTCAATATCTTACTCTTTTTTCCTGGCAGTGCTGGTGACTGAAGCCAGGGTGTTGTTGCCCAGGCTGGGCTAGTCCTCATCATGGAACCACGGCCTCAGTCCTAGTGTCAGTTTCTATAGCAACACACAGGCTAGTGGAACCGAGGGGAAATGACAATGGAACAGCTGATGACAGCTGTTTCAGCTCAAAAGGCAGACAGAGAGGCCAGGATGCTTGAACACTTCTGTTCAAAGAGAACTTCCGGGAGCTCCATCCCCTGTCTTTAGCACCCCTTCAGTGGCTTGTCAGTGGTCTTGTTCCTTTAAACTTGATGCTAAACAATAGTCACAGAAAGTCTTTTAAAGAAATGTTTTAGCTAGGAGTGATAGTGCATGACTTTCATCTCAGCACTCAGGAGGCAGAGAAAGGCAGATCTCTGTGAGTTAGAGGCCAGCCTGGGCTACATAGTGAGTTTCTGAACAGCCTGGGAAATGTAGAGAGCCTTGTCTCAAAAAAAGAAAGTTTTAAATCTTTGTATGTATATGCATGTTTGTGCACAAATACGTGTGCATGTAGGCATGCTCATGGCACACTTGTGGATATCAGAGGATGGTGTGTAGGAGTTGGTCCTCTCCTTCCACCAAGGATTCAACTCAGCTTGTCAGGGTTAGCGAAAGCAAGTGCCTTTACCTATTTAGCCGTCTTGCCAAAGAAAGAGCCTAAAAATCAAACAACTTTTCAGGAGACAGACAGGAGGATCTGTGCGTTTGAGGCCAGTATGGTCTATATAGCAAGTTCTAGACTATCTAGCGCACACAGAAAGACCCTGTCTCAAAACACAAGCAAGCAAACAAAAAACAACAACAAAAACAACCCTTTTTCTGGGTATAGTGGTGAAACCTTTAATCCCAGCACTCAGAAGGCATAGGCAAGTGAATCTCTGTGAGTTTGAGGCCAGCCTAGTTTATCTGGAAGTTCCAGGCCAACCAAGACTATATAATGAGAGTATGTCTGAAAAAAAAAAAAAACAACTTTCTTCCTACTTTGCTTTCTCAAAAATCTTGTAGTAGCATTCTCAAAGAGTTAATAAAAGATGTTACATTAAAAATAAAATAAAGAGCTGGGGAGATGACTCAGAGGTTAAGAGCACTGATTGCTCTTCCAGAGGTTCTGAGTTCAGTTCCCATGGTGGCTAACAACCATCTATAATGAGATCTGGTGCCTTCTTCTGGTAAGCAGGCAGAACACTGTATATATACATAACAACAACAACAACAATAATAATAATTATTATTTTATGCTGGGCATTGGTGGCTCACACCTTTAATCCCAGCACTGGGGAGGCAGAGGCAGGCAGATCTCTGTGAGTTCGAGACCAGCCTGGTCTTCAAAGAGAGTTCCAGAACAGTCTCCAAAACCTACAGAGAAACCCTGTCTTGAAAAATCAAAATAAACAAACAAATAAATAAATAAAATAAAGCTGGGTGGTGGTGGTGGTGCATGCCTTTATCCCAGCATTTGTGAGGGGGCAGATCTCTGTGAGTTTGAGTACAGCCTGGGTTACAGAGTTCCAGGACAGCCAGAGGTATATAGTGAAATCCTGTCTTGGGAAAAAAAATATAACAAACAACAACATCAAAACACAACCAAACCACCTAATGACAACCCTGCGTCCCACAGAACAGAAGTTAAATCCCTTATGATGAGCTGGTGGCCCCTCCTGTGTGGTCCCCACCTCTCTGGGCTGGGCTCCTTCCACTCTCCCCCCTGTTTTCTACTGCAGCTGGGCTTCCCCATGCTGTCTTCTTGCTGCTTTTCCAAGGCGGAACTCGCGTTTTAGTCTGCTCCTTCACCTTCTTTGGGATTCAGAACAATCTTACTCTGACCTCCACCTATCTAATCAGCGTATTTTGTCATGCTCTGCTTTTCCTGACACTTCATCCAACCTTCTTAACATGCTTCACTTACTCATCTGCTACCATAATGTTCTCTTTTTAACTTTTTCAGTTAATTAATTTATGTATATGTATGTATGCCTAGGAAAGTATATATGCCTAGGTGTACCATATATATGCATGTATCTACAGAGGCCAGAGGGGGTCAAAACTGGAATTACAAACAGTTGCCACATGCCATGTGAGTGCTAGAAACCCAAACCAGTTCCTTTGCAAGAGCAACAAAGTGCTCTTAGCCACTGAGCCATCTCCCCAGCCTCCATGTTCTCTTCATTAGTGGGAAGAACCCACAAAAGGAGAGATACTAGTTGCTCATACGTAAGAAAGGCCTAAAATCTATGATGTGAACAGACGTTACCTTTTTTTTTTAAATAATGTTTATCTGTATTTTATGTACATTGGTGTTTTGCCTATATGCATGTCTGTATGAGGGCATTGGATCCCCTGGAACAGGAGTTACAGACAGTTGTAAACTGCCATGTGGGTGCTGGGAATTGAACACAGGTCCTCTGGAAGAGTAGCCATTGCTCTTAACTGTCTCTTTAGCCAGTAAAGCTGAGTTATCTCTCCAGCTCCATGGTATCTTTCTTAACTGTGGGAAAGCACTCTTGGACCTATGTTCTTTTATTTATTTATTTGTGTGTGTGTGTGTGTGTGTGTGTGTGTGTGTGTGTGTGTGTGTAAGAGAGAGAGAGGAGAGAGGAGGGAGAAAGAGCAGAATAAATAATATGTGTATGAGTGTAAATGCACACAGGCCAGAAAGGTATCTGGTGTCCTTTCTATCACTCTTAACCTATTCCTTGAAGCAGGGTTTTGTCCTGAACTCTGGGGATTTGTATTTTTTCTGCTAGGCCTAAAGCCAGCAGGCTTCAGCTGTCCTCCTGTCTGTCCAACTCCGATCTGGGGTTACAGGCATGTGTATGGTTACTGGCTTGTTATGTGGGTGTTAGAATCCGAGTTCAGGTCCTCATGATTGTACAGTAAGCACTCTTACCCATCTCTCCAGCCCTTACCTTGGACTTCAGTTCTACAGGTAGAAGTAATTCATAGGAAAAAGTTGGTGTAACTCAATTTGCAAAGGCCTAAAGAGGAAACCAGTGGGGAAACAGCTTATAGCCTGCCAGCTTAGCCTCATAAGTATTGCTACTTCTCAGATAAGCTCAAATCTTTACATTTTACTGGCTAAAGAGACAGAGAACCCGGTATGAGGCTCATAACTCAATCTCGGCACTGGGAAGGCTGAGGTAGGTATCGATTACCATGCACGTGGGATAGCCTGGATTATAGAGTGAGATCATATCTTACTTTGAAAAACAAAGCTAAGTGAAAAGAGCCATTGACAACTTTCTCATGGACAATCATTCCATCACCCAACTCATAAATACCCATCCCCTTTACCCTAAGATCCAATAAAGCTACTCTTTGTTTTGAATAAGGTGTTTCTATGCATCCCAAACTGGCATAGAACTTGCTATGTATCCCAGGCTGGCTTTGAATCCACAAAGATTCTCTTAAGTGCTGGGATTATAGGCATGTGCCTCTATACCAGGCTATTAAAACTACTTTTGTCAGGCAGTGGTGGCGCACGCCTTTAATCCCAGCACTCGGGAGGCAGAGGCAGGTGGATCTCTGTGAGTTCGAGGCCAGGCTGGACCAACAGCCTCCAAAACAATACAGAGAAACCCTGCCTCGTAAAACAAACAAAAAAAAACCCAAAAAACAAAACAACAACAACAACAACAACAACAAAAAACTACTTTTAGTTAGAAAACAAAAGAAAAAGAGCTATAAATCTTTTTACTTTCCCTGAAATGGTATTTATGATAATGTCATCAATACAACCTATTATTATTCATGACATTGTAACTGAACTTCACATGTGCCTTCTTGGATCTGCAGTTTGCCTCCTCAGAAAGGGGGGCTAACCTTCCATTTAACCTTGATGGCCAGTTTAGATTTTTCTGTTTTCCTCATGATCTCAGAAGAAACACCTTCAAACTTGCCTCTGTTTGGAATGTAGCAAATTTCCCTGGGGTGCCCAGGACTCCCAGTTAGTGTATGTGTGTGTGTGTGTGTGTGTGTGTGTGTGTGTGTGTGTGTGTGTGTGTGCGCGTGCGCGCACGCAGTCTGTGTTGGTTTTTTTTTTGTCCTGTATTCTAAGAGGCTGTCTGTCTATGCAGTCCATTGTTAGAAATCTACTACTCAAATATTTCATACTTATCTTCTGTTTCCCTATATTTTCTAAATAAGACCCTTCTACTTTGACGGTGTTCTAAGATTTTTTTTTAACAGAACTCTGCTGGGGGCTCCTTATCCTACCCTCAGTTTTAGTAGTACTTCCAAATTCACAATCTCACTTTTTATAGTTTTGATTACCCCCAGGTCAACCAATGTCTAAAAATATGGACTAGAAAAATTGCACACTATTCAGCATAACATGATAAAGCCTCCTATCCCTTTCATTTAGTTCTGTCTGGAATATGAATCATCCCTTTGTTCACAGTATCCATAGTATATGTACGACCTGCCCATTGGTCATTTAGTAGCCATTTTGAACAGACCATGCCTGGTAGTATGCCCTGTTTATCCACAGGGTTCAGTACTGTCTAAGGTTTCAGGTATCTGCTGGGGGTTTTAGAATGTGCCTTTAACATTTTCACTTATTTTGTCTCATTTGCAAATAGGAAACCGTCTGTGTTTCATATAGCTCTTCCAGCACGAGCAACTGCTGCTTACTCTTTTCCATTTTCATGGTCCTCTGTTCCTACCTCTGTTACTGTGCTTAGGGAGAACATCTGTTTACCCCACCTAGCCCAGCAGAACAAATGTTCCTCTAAGACAAGAATGATAGTCCTTTCTACAACTCCAGCAGTCAGCAGAGGGCCTGACACAGTGTGTGCTTGTATATGGCCCCCACAAATGTCTGTAGGTTTCTCTACACTTGGGTCTGTCTTTTAAATTACTTTATGATGTTTGTAACAGTAACACCAGTCAATGCCTGTCAAGTAGATGAATGCACTCACCATCATCCCAGAGAGCAGTATCTATCCTACTGAGCATGGCCATCACCGCAGGTGGAGGCATGAGAGGCACAAAGATTCCTTTCTTTCTAAAAACCTCTCTCTATTTCAGATTTGTCTATCCAATTGCCTAGAATTTTGCCATCAGAATTTGATTTATTTAGGCTAAAGTATTACCCTTTCCTAACACACACACACACACACACACACACACACACACACACACACACACACACACACACGGTCAGGGTCCACACTTCATTAACCATTAATAAGTCAGGAGTATTAGTAACAGATCCTATTCAAGTGAAAATGAACTGAGAACTGTGTTGTTGGAATATCAGTTAAAGATGTGTTACATTCTTTTATGCTGTGGAATATTTGTTTAATGATGCAAAGATTTGTTACAGTCTTTTATGTTGCATTGCTTAATTCTTTTTGAAACTGTGTTACTTTGCCTGCCTAAAACATCTGATTGGTCTAATAAAGAGCGGAATGGTTAAGAGCTGGGCAGAGAGGGATAGGCAGGGCTGTCAGGCAGAGAGATTAAATAGAAAGAAAAAAGAGGGGAAGAAAAGAAAAAAATAGGAGAGGAGGATGCCAGGGGCCAGCCACCCAGCTACACAGAAAACCACAGAGTAAGAAGTAAAGAAAGGTATATAGAAAGGTAAAAAGTCCAGAGGCAAAAGGTAGATGGAATAATTTAAGTTAAAAAAAAAAAAGCTGGTTAGAAACAAGCTAAGTTAAGGCCAGGCATTCATAAGTCGTGAGAGTTGTGTGGTGGGCCCCTCAAAGAGTAAAAAACGAACAAACAAAAAACCCCAAAACAAACAAACAAATAAACAAACAAACAAAAACCAACAACAGAAATGGATGTGGTAGAAAGGAATAAGGCTCAGGAATGTGTGAGTAAATTCAAAGTGCTGGTGACTAAGTAGAGAGAGGATGCTGAGAGCCTAGGGCGCTTTCTTCCCCTCCTGGTCTTGATTGGTTAGACTTTTAAAATAGAAGCAGGAACCAATCCATTTGTGACCTGTAACCCAAAATTCTGGGCTGGCAAGCAACACACTTATCTCTCAACCATCTGCCTTTATATAGACAACATAACGTTTGAGAAAAAAAAAAAAAAAAAGACCAGAAGGATCATTCTGTCTCCCAATCCCACCTTCTACAGAGGAAGTCGGTCAAGACTAAGGGGTAGCCTTCTTTGCTCAGGGTCTCACAAGTCCAGATAGGGTGTCACTCAGTCTATATGGGGACTCCCAGCAGTGCACAAACAAGTTCTGACAAGGTCTGGCCTCCCTGTCAGTCTTTGCAAAAAGCAGCCTGCTCTTTAAAACTAACACACAGCTTCATCTAGGAAAAGGCAACTCACTGATTTTCAGACTTCGAAATAGTCTTTCAATTCAGTTAACCACAAACCAGGTGTTAAACATTTGTTTACCAAGGCACAGTCGGCGATAAGTTTGTACATACTGTAGTTAAAGAACATAAAAGCCCACAACCCTAAACAAGAAAGCCACAAATTAAAGCAAACGATACGTTGTTGCTCTGTGGTTCACGAGGGCGTGTAATTTCCCCCTACCACACCTCGGCTTGAGATCTATATAGCAGACCACTCCTGGTTTCCAGAACTGTCTTCTCCCAATCGCCAGCCATGCTTAACTTACCTTCTTCTCGAGCATGTTCGGAATCCTTTAGCCTTTTTACACAATGAGGAACCGCGAGGGTAAGTCTGGTCAGCAGGCTGAGTACGATCAGAAGTGGAAACATAGTCCGGCAACTTTCATACAAACTAAGACAAAAGTAACAAAGACACATTTAAAAGGGGGAAGGGGAAGCCCCCGTCTCAACCCGTTGGGTTTGAGTAGGAACTGAGTCAAGGACCTGTTGTACCAAACACCGCCGTGCTAGTGCGCCCCACGCGCGGTTTTTAATCTGTAAGACCCAAGGTGCTCTGGGCAGGTGAAACTCCGGGAGAGTCGGGGAACAAAAGCCGCTCCCCGGAATCTGCGGAGGAGAAGTCGGACACTGGCCAAGGCAGACGCGACTCTGGCAGGCAAAGACCGGCAGTTAGATGCCGGAATGCCACCGCCTAGGCTTTCCCCTCCCGGAGACTCCCCACTTCGCCACCCCGCGCCGCACCTGCGTCCCCAGAAACATGTTCCACCAGCCCTTGGGCGGGAGCCGAGTTGTCTTCTAGTCTCCAAGGCGGCCTGGCCCTGCGTCGCTGACGCTGTGTGGATCCAGGCGACAGTCGGAGCCTGGCCCTTTGCCGTGCCCGGGTGACACCAGCGCGCAGAGGAGGCGTCTAGGATCCGCGTAGGGGCGCTCGGGGAACGTGCGCGGCGCTGCGCGGAGCCCAGCCTGTGTCTCCGGGCCGCCGTCACCTCAGCGGGACAGAGAGGAGAGGCGGATCTTTGGCGGTCACCTGGCGGAACTCCTCCTCCTCTCCTCCTGGACTTGGTCCTCCACCCTTCGCAACCGCGATGCACTCAACTGGAGGAGGCCAAGCAGAGCGTCCTGGGCACAACGAATGTTTTCCCAATTTAGATGCGAAACTCGGGGTCCCGAGGTTACCTTCGGTCAGCTGTTCTCACAGCAGGGTCCAGGGGCCAGAACACAATATCATCCGAGAAAAACACACTTTGTTCGTGACCAAAAATGAATTAATTACATTAGTTCTTAGGTGGGGTTCATTAGCTCTGGGATATCTACAAAATCCTTTCAAGAGATCTCCAATGTCAAAATTGTTTCCATGATAACAAGGCATGGTTTCACCTCTTTCACTTTCATTCTCCTGTCTCTGTCTCTGCCTCTCTGTCTGTCTGTCTCTGTCTCTGTCTCTGTCTCTGTCTCTGTCTCTCTCTGTCTCTCTCTCTCTCTCACTCACTCTTTCTCTCTCTCTCTCATTTACAGTGGAAATTTCCAGGAGCTATTTGACATGTAATGATGTCATCACTCTGCTAAGGAATAAAACTCCAGTGGATGATTTGCTTGTGATTTTTAGTATCTTCCATTATACTAGGTTAGTGTCAGTATGCAAATTTAAACAGAATTTAATAAATTGTGCCTAGTCTCAGTACATTTCTGCTTGTATTAGGTATTTTTGGTCATAGTTACTGGGACATTTAATAACTTCATTCTTCTTGGACAAGCAATCTTAGACCTTGAACTTTTTGCTGATTTTTTTTCAGAAACAGAACAAAAGCACACTTCATTGTCGTAGGTAAAATTTTGGAAATGTCTCTTTGTTGACAAATATCATTACAAATAATTCAAGAGGTCCTGAGCTCACAGTTTGAGAATGAAGATAGGGGACGATATATCTCCACATCCTTCATGTCCAAATAACAAGCTCTGTCACTCTTGGGAACAATGTTTTACGTTCTGCTCTTTGGTCAAAGTGGCCTGGAACTTGGTAAAGGTGAATGGGACAAAATGAAATACCATTTTTGACTCCTTTTGACTTTTTAATTAATTCACCTTTCACCGAATTCTTTTTTCCTCCCCAAAGGCTACTATCGATTTTATTCTGACTAACGAAGTCAACTATTTCCTCCTAAACAGTGTCCATGCCCACCTCACTTCCCTTCTCATTTCCGGCTTGTGTTTTTACCCCTCTGGGTAACAGAGTCTTCTTTCCCCCTTACTTAAGCAACTGAGATGGGACGGTGGAGAAGTTAGAAATACCTTATTGTTGAACACAAGAACCAGAAATGCTTTTCTGGGAATAGCCATTCTTCTGCTTGCTTACTAGTCTTGTCACCTACCACTGGAAGCCCTGACAGTAGAGGGATAAACACCACTTTCTTTTGGGAGAGCTGGATCTTACTGAGATCTGTATCTAAGAATGCAGACCTGTCAAGTTCTTCCAGGGCAAGAGCAAATTTCTTTGCTTCCTTCACCATATTTGGAAAAGGACCCTCCTCATTTTTATATTCAGTACATTTAGATAGGTGGCAGCAACTTATTGTCAGGTTTGAGTGTTTCACAGCAGTATGTATGTATGCATGTATGTATGTATGTATGTGGAGTTGAGATAGGGTTTTCTCCATGTGTCCCTGGCTGTCCTGGAACTCACTCTGTAGACCAGGCTGGCCTGGAACCCAGAGATCCACCTGCCTCTGCCTCTGAGTGCTGAGACTAAAGGCATGAGCCTCTGCCACCCGGCTAATCTCAATTTTAAGGAATATTTTATTAATTCTTTGAGAATTTCAAACAATGTAATTTGATTATATTCACCTCTCCTTCCCCAACTCATCCCATATTCACCCTCACCTCTCTACTCGCCCAAATTTGATCCCCACCCCCAGATCTAATCCAGCTCATGTTGTCCAACTACTTTTTTTTTTTTTTGGTTTTTACGAGACAGGGTTTCTCTGTATTGTTTCAGAGGCTGTCGGTCCAGCCTGGCCTCGAACTCACAGAGACCCGCCTGCCTCTGCCTCCCGAGTGCTGGGATTTCAACTACTCTTAAGAGTAGGGTTTTCCCTGCCCTATCAGGAGTCACACATCCATTGTTAAAAAAAAATGACAAACGTCGGGGCTGGAGAGATGGCTCAGAGGTTAAGAGCACTGACTGCTCTTCCAGAGGTCCTGAGTTCAATTCCCAGCAACCACATGGTGGCTCACAACCATCTACATTTCAATCTGGTGCCCTCTTCTGGCATGTAGGCAGACTACTGTATATGAAATATATAAATAAATCTAAAAAAAAATGACAAACTTCAATTGCTCCTTAGCTATGCTGGGCTTTTGTCTGGCTTGAGCTTCAGAAGGAAAGTATTGGGCATGCTGTCAGCATCACACTGTGTTAGGGAGAGGCAAATAGTGAGAAGCTCCGCGCTGTGAAGTCAGCAGATGGGAATCTGATGGGATTTTTGGTAGAATAAGTCTACCCACATCGCTGGAGATTTGGGCTCAAACAACTGAGGCTTTGTGCTCCCATCAAATAGCAGCATTTATTCCGGCTGAGAGGGGAGTTGGAAAGGACAAGACTGTTTCTCAGTAGTGAATTACAGTCTGCATATTTTCTTGTGATATGGGTCCTGAGAATGGCACAGCATTTGGCAGGACACACGCTCAACCACTATGGAACTGAAAGATAGTTTGAGGTTAGCTGGGATGGGAGCAGGGGGTGGGGCGAGGTGAGGTGCTAGTAGCACACTCTTGATTTCTTCTGTTGTCTACTTTCTGCGTTTCAATTCTTATTTTTACTTTTTTCCTTTACTAATCACAATATCCTTATACTTTTTTCCATCTAAAGTGTAAGTTCTCTCCTAGACAGTATTTATCTTACTCTGGCCATCTGTGGAATTGAGCTCTCATTTCACACAGAGGGATATTACACCATGGAGAAGTGAATGCATAGGAGCCAGGCCCTTGGCTCTTTCCAAGGCTTTCTCTGAAGGGCAATGGGTAAAGAATTGTTTAATTTCAGAGGAAATAAGGTGAAAACAACAGAGCGATGAGATTAATGGCCTTGGACGGTGTGCTGCTGCATCTCTGGACTTGGACACAAGCATACCCACCCACTTACCTATGTGAACTCAAGAATGAAATGGGAACTGGCTCCTGTGTGGGCATGAGGATGGACTCAAGGGCCGTGACAGAAAATGTTTGGGTCATGTTCATGAAGCTCTTCCATGTAAGGTCACATCCCCGTCCTTAGAGACACATGGCTGACTGTAGCAATGGAGTGTTTGGAATAGGAGAGGAACTGAACTTATGTTTCTGTGACATTTAGCCTTGGCATTTCAACAGCAATTGGCTGCAGTTTTAATTTATCCCAGTAAAATCAGTAAGCAGAAAAGAAATGACTCCTACATCTTAAAGTTAATTGTGTATCTGTGTGCAGGTATTTTTCAGAGTTATTGCATAGGGGCTAAAGAGTCTATATTAAACATTTGCTGGGAGCCCTCTTGGGAAACTTTTGACAGAGTTTAGATTTAATTTCATCATCGAACAACAGTGATTATTAATAGCAAAACAATTCAATAAAATCAAGAACCCTGAGAAATGTCATCTATTTTATCTCATGCTATGAGGCATTATGAGAGTGACATGTTACTATTAGAAAATATATAAACAATCCTATAGTCTTCCAATGCACCTGGGAACTTGAAATGGTGTGGTTTTTGAGCTGCCCCCAGGACTCTGTGACAAGGACTTTTGTCAGTTTGTCATAGAGCTGTCACTGTGTGTGTGGACATTGCATTTTTTTTACAGCTGTAATTAGTTCATTATTTCTGCCTAAACCTCTCAAAACAGGCATTATGGGTGTTGGCCACCACACCACTCCTGGTGCCAATCAATTTTTATGGCTTCTTTTGTAAACACATATTCAAATAATTATAGTATTCCAAATGAAAAGATTTTTTCATGCAGATTTTATGCAGAATCATTTGCAAAACCATGCTTTCCATGTATGGCACGTATAGGAGATGAAGCAAACCATGCATTTCTACCTATAAGTGACAGTGTTCATGAGTTAGCATGGGTGAGAGGTGCAGCTCTACCTATAAGTGACAGTGTTCATGAGTTAGCATGGGTGAGAGATGCAGCTCATTTGTCTAGCTTTTGAAAGGTGCTGGGTCTCATTCTCTGTACCAGTAGGATGAGGAAGAAAGAAAACAACAAGCACCTATAATCTTAGCTACTCTGGAAGCTGAGGCAGGGGGATCATGAGCTTGAAGTGATCCGGGGCAACATCTGCACAGTCTAATACCTCAGAAGAGCAGCTCTGCCTGAAAGACACATGTTACACAGCCCTGCTCCCAGGAAACACACAGACAGGAACCCTTTTGTTCCCTCTTATTTAATCCTGTGCTATTTCACATAACATCCCATCTTCAAACTCGCAAATGTTAAAATATAGAGTGTAGGTTTTTCAGTAATCTGCTAATTATTCTCCCTATCTGAATAGTCTTGAATCACCTACTTTTTTTTGTAATTTTGTAATTTCTTTTTTCATTGTTGTTTTTTGTTTTTGATATAGGATTTTACTGTGTACCCCAGGCTGGCCTTGAACGATAAAGGAGTTTTCTTGCCTTAGATGAGTGATGGGATTACAGGCAAGCATGACCACATCTGGCATAACTAAGAATTTCTACATTTTTTTTTAAAAAAAGCTGTTCTACTGCTTCAATTAAAAAAAAAGATTTATCTTTTCTTTTAAGAACTTAGAATTGAAAAACATAAAGCATACTGATTTGTCACCTTTTTTTGGGTGGGGGTGGTTTTAAGACAGGGTTTCTCTGTGTAGCCCTTGCTGTCCTGGAACTCATACTCACGGTTGATCTGCCCGCCTCTGCCTCCTTAGTGCTGGGACTAAAGGCGTGCACCACCATCACCCAGTTGACTTGTCATCTTTAAGAACAACATCTTTTCTGACTTTCTGCGCGCACGCTCTCTCTCTCTCTCTCTCTCTGATTCCTGTTTTAATGAACTATCATCAGCTGGCTTTCTGCACCTGCTACCATGCCGTAGTTTCCCCACTATGCTCTCTTCCTGGAACAGAAATAAACTTTCTTCTCTAAAAAATGAATGAAAGAAAGAAAAGAACAATGTTT